TTACAGGAGCAATCAGAAATTGATACAATAAGTTAAGTTTGAAATATATGTGGGCTATTCAGGAGGAGGTTACCAAAGAGAAATGGGATATTCTGCTCTGGAATATGTCCATTTTTAGAGACAAATGTCAGGTTTCCAACCATAGGCCTCTTTCATGGCAAATTGCATCTCTTCAAGACTTAGTTTTATTCTTTGAATTCACATCATACCAGACAACAGGAGACACTGTAGTCCAGTGATTTGGACATATAAACTGTGATCGTAAAAATGGTTTTAGATTCACAAAACCAAGAATGTGGTCATCTAGAGCAAGACCTTTTTGCATGAAAGGGATCAAGCAACAATCCAGCAGAGGGCTGGGAAGCGCAAGAGGTCCTTGAATCCACACAACTCCCACTGTGCTACTTTACCCACAGACCCTCTAAGCCACCTTTTGTACACTGAATTCAGACTTCAGTGCATCATCATCTGCTGTAAAAATTTTCAGTTGTCACAAGGTGGGGCTGCCTGCCCTCCAGCAGTGCCACCTTGTTAGCAGCAGCATCTTTGTTCCACAGAATCTGCCTGTGCAACTATGGGAGCCATTTATACTATTTTGTTCTTATTTTATAAAAACGAGTGGAAATAAAAAATGAGTGTGTTATTATCTGTAAAAGACACAAGCTTAATAAAATTTAATAGAGATGAAAATGGAAATCATCGGGGTCACTCATTGTCACAGCAGGATGGTCACTGGACTTGAGTTTATCCACTGTGCATCCTACTATGAAGAAAATTAACAAAAGTATTGAACATGTCTACTAATAATACCAATAACAGTTGACACTGAGCACTTATTATGGACAAGGCACTATGCTAGCACTTCATATTCATAACCCCATTTGTTCCTCACAACAATCTATTGGGGTAGGCATTATTATTATTCCCTTTACAGTTTATAAAGTTTAGATACAGAAAGTTTACGTAGATTAAGGAAGAGAGGTGAGGGGGCTAAAGTGCTTAAGGAATCACAAATAGAAAGTGGCAGAGCAGGGATTCAAAGCCAAGCAGTCCAACTCCAAAGCCCAGCACTCTACACCATCTCCCTCCCCATCGCCGCCATCACATCCCTGACATCATCTCCTACTACTCTCCCTGCGCCCCTCTGTCCCACCCATACTGGGACATCCCAGGCACTCCTGTGCCTCTGGGCCTTTTCTGTTCCCATTGGAAAAGTTTTCTTACAGATATTTCTCATTCCCTAATCTCCTTCAAGTCATGTAAACAAACATCTTAGTGAAGGATTCCCTGACTTCTTCAGGAGGAACCGAACATTCTATCCATGCATCGTGGGAAAACCTTAGACTGAGTGAGGAAAAACTCCCAAGTTCCTCTGGGGCTTGGGATCAGCTGGCCTCATGGAGACAGGTGCAGGACTGGCAGTAGAGCCTGCTGTAGGCTCCTTAGGACCTGTTTAGGATTCTGCAGTCGTTTCTGTTGCTTTCTGTGCAGTATTTATGTCAAGTGATCCTGAAGGTTCAGTGAATTTTCATGAAAGTTGTAGCCTGGCCTCCTTGGTGAGAATTAAGTGGATGGACCTACACTTCACTACATGACGGGAAGTGGAGTGTCTGCTCCCTCGAGACCGGAGGTGGCAGCAGGACTTCTGGCCCCCAGGTCACATTCCATGAGTCACTCCCGTAAAGGCTGCATCCTGCAGCGTGATGAGAAGGCTGACTGCTAGAACCTGCAGAATTCACACAGAGCACACTGGCAGCTCCTGGCCCCCTCCGTAGGTGGAAAACTATAAGCCATGGTGAATTTCAGCTATAAAGCTGGTGGTGGGGGTGGGGGTGTCACTGTGCCATTGTGACTGGGCTTCCTCTGACTTCTAATTCTTCTCATAGTTATTTATCCATCTTGAGAGTTCACCTTACAGGTGCACATGAATTCTCACATGGGACTCAACAATAGCCTGGTGAGAAAGGCGGTACTATTTACATGTGAGGAAACTGAGGCTCAGATCAAGTGACATCTCCATTTCATTACAACTCAAAGCCTGGACTTCTTGCTCCAAGAACAGTGTCCCTTTCAATACATTGGGACATCAATATACGGTCCATTACTAATGCATACTCAGGTGATTCTCAGCAGACCACAACCTCAGGATTCTCAAAATCCCATATTAAATAAGCTTTTAGTATGTGTTGGGGATGCATTCCCAACACACCTCTGGGTATGTGCTCATGATGCCTCTATACCAGTGGTGTTTCCAGATGTGGTTAGATTTTTACTCACTTCCAGGGAAATTCTTGGGTAGAAAAAGAAAAAGCAGGTTATATACATTGATGATAATTTATTTCATAGCACCTCATTCACAGCATTTTCAGTACAACATTCTGCTCAACATTATGTATACTTCAAAACACACACAACTTGGTAAGGCACCACAGGATACAAGAGCCTGGGAGGAGACCTTGCTCTCATTTTGGCTTGTGTAATACATGTGTAGTTTCTCTTAAGTAGGTCAAGAACACAGAACAGTATTATAAAATGTTCATCTATATAGACACGGTAAGAAGAGACAGCAAAACAGTTTCAGAGTATATCATATTTTTTAAATTACGACATTGGCCTACACTTTGGAAGTTAAGCTAAAGTAGCATTCTCTAAAGCACAACTCTTACAAAAATTCCCCTGCATACCAAGCTGCAAGTGTAATGATTTTTGAACTTTGAAGTGAATCAATTTGATAGTTAACTTAAACACATATTTTAAAAATGTTTTCAACCCAAATCCCTACTTTCACAAAGAACGGAAAGTGCAGGAAAATGCTAAGTATAACCACACTGTTCCTACTCTATAAAATGCAGCAACATATTTAAAACTGCTGTACTTAAACATCAACCCATTAGATTTTTAGCACTAACAGTCCAGATGGTATCAATTCTTCATTTTCTAAGTTTTTCAGTACAGCATCAGACACAACCTGCTATAAGATAACCTACTTAAGTGAAGCTTTCAGAACTGGATCACAAGGCTTTTCTTCACTAAATGCTTCACCCCAGTGCCCTTAAAGGCAGAGGATTCTGAAGGCCTACCCAAGGGCCTACAAAGTACAGCCCAATACTTACATAAAATTGCTTTCAAGTTTTGTGTTCTATCTTAAAAATTGGTTTGCATTGTACTCCATGATATTTGCTTTAATATAAAAATAATATTTAAAATTACTTACCAGTTAAATAACTCCCCACCCCAATTTCCCTCCCCTCACCATCTAGGAAGATGCACCACCTTTCTTTGTGGTCTCTATCTTTGCACATCAAGGCAGGTAAATCCCATGTGGAATGACTTTCCACAAACAGGTAAGCTAGGCATGGCAAGATTAAAATGCATTTAATTAGCTTTATTTTAAGCATTTCCACAAATCATTCAGGTTGTAACTAAATGTTTCGGAAAACAATGACAATCAATTTCAACGTATTGAAAAATAAACAGTCTGTGTATTTTAGTGATTTAAGATTAACCTTTGTTAAGCAAAGAAATTCTTTAATTTTACTTACTAACAGGAATAAAAGAGGCCGCAGCCTAAAGCATAATATGATCTTTTACTTTTTCTATAGAAAAACACAAACCGGATTTTTTTTTTAGATAAAAAACACAACAAAACGGCCCACAAAAAGATAAAACTCTTCTATCTACTGGCTTTGCAAAGATTTTCCTAAGCTGGTTAGTTATTGCATTGATTTTGATAAACCTGTTTAACCCACTGCAAGCTCAGCGTTACAACTCAATACATTTATACTATCTTTTGGTATGCCAGAAACATACCTATTACACGGTAAAAAGTATTCTCCTGATAAAGCCCTTTATTTCTCACAAAGATGAAGCTGTAGAAACTGCAACCCCAGAGGACACAATGTTTCACAAATAGGTGGTTTTCTTAGTGTCCTGCGTGAGGAAGTGGTAGAACTTGTGGGAGGTGGTCCCAGCACCCACCCTGCTTTTGGTCAGGCCACAGCGGATACAACCCTCCACGATCATTCAGAAAAGTCATCCGGGGATTTAATGCACTGTCTGACCAGGTTTTAAGATTATTTTATTTTTTGCTTTGTTTTTAGATGGTTAAAAATGTGTAAATCAAGATATGCTTAAAATTATATGTAGGGTAGAATAAAAAAGATGTCTGTTAAAAAGTTTTAACTTCCTCTGAAGCCAATCTTTCATAAAATCTGTTTTGTGTGGCCATGCTTTTTTTCCATTAACTTTTTAAAAGACTGAATATCAGCAGCAAATACAACCATCTATACATACGTATGTGTGAGTGTGTGTGGGTGTACACACTGAAGTACATTTTGGCTGACAATGATAGAAAGGTCCATCTTGTGTTCCATAAGCATTTGCTGTAGGCCTTTCAAGAATATTTACTTTCTTGCAGATGGCCCAGGTTAAGTACAAAACTTTAAAAAAACTCAGATAATGCTTCCTATTCCTCTAACGATCTAGGATTTAGGCAGTCTGGTGCACACACTACAGTACCTAGCAGAGAACACTCCAAACTAAACAATACTAAGAGCTACTGACGGACACCTGCTTTGCTCCACATGGCATTCTGGCTGTGTTTACACAGGGTAACACAACTGGTCTAAGAATAAAAAATCCCAATACAAGTTTCCTTTTTGGTCTAAACTGTGCCAGAGTCAGTAGGTTGCTTGTTGGTTGGTTGTTTTTAAATCTTAATCAACCAGGTTTGACAAAGACTAAATTAGTGAGTGTTTTGCAGACAGAGGTCTCCTTTTTCTCAGATTTTTGCTCTTGAAAAAATAAAATAAAATAAAGCATGGTTTACATGGAGTTTCAAAGCTAAGTTCTTACCATGGTTGACCTGTGTACTATAATGTACTATGCATTAAACCAAAAAAAAAAAACCAAACCCCTTGCCATCGAGTCAATTCCGACCCAGAGCAACCCTACAGGACAGAGAAGAACTGCCCCACAGGGTTCCCAAGGCTAAAATCTTTACTGGAGCAGACTGCCACATCTTTCTCCCACAAAGCAGCTAGGGGGTTCAAACTGCCAACCTTAATAGCTGAGTTAGTAGCTGAGTGCTTAACACTGCACCACCAAGGCTCCTTCACTACGCATTAAGTAGCCTTTAATGAAGGGAGGGTTAATCACAACATTCCCCCTTTTGTTCTTTTGTACATAATAATGTAGCAAAATTTCATTCCTCACATCCAGATTTGAGGTGTCTTTTTCATTTGAGATGTAAATTAATTCAGAGGTGTGAAATTCTAAATTTCCAGAGTTGTGAAAATTTCTTAACTTACTTCAAAAATATTTTGCATAAGTATCTCATCCCTAGCTCAAACAAACAACAAGAAAATCAAAGGCAAGAAAGAACACAGAAATTGTGAACTCCTCCTATAACACACGCATTCTCCACACAGGTTCTACACAGTAAAAGGAATTAGTTCAGCTAATATAGCTTCTAATATTGATTTCATCTGGAAATTGCTTTTCTGAGTTTCTTGCCAGCATTAGACAAAACAGCAATATTTCTTCCACCAGGACTTGGAGAGGTTTTTCATCTTATCTGGAGTCCTACTCTTCGACTTCTTTGGCTGTTGCTGAGTGTCTGAGTATTGAATGCCAGCAACAATGGCTGCGTCAAAGACTTCTTTGAGGTTCTTCTGAGTCAAGGCTGAACATTCTATGTAAGAGGAGGCTTTGATTCCTTCGGCACATAACTTTGCCGCCTCTTCAGGCACTGGCTTCTCTTTGCATTTGTCCAGCTCAATCAGGACTTTGACATCTTCTCTGAGATCTGACTGAGTCCCGACTAGGATGATGGGGGCTTTGGGGCAATGGCACCGGATCTCTGGTACCCACTTCTCACTCACATTCTGGAAGGATGAAGGGCTCACGACGCTGAAGCACAGCAGGAAGACGTCTGTGTTTGTGTAGCAGAGAGGCCTGAGCTTGTCGAACTCATCCTGCAACCAACGGAAGTATCCAGAAATTACTTTTCTAATCAATTTTTGTCAGCAAAAACAGCAGTCTTAACATTAGTCTTAAAAAGGTTCTGGCAGGTAACAAAAACCCAACTGATTATGGAAGCAAGAGACAATGTTTGTAAGACACAATCCTGCTATCTAAGTGGGGTCTATGCTCCCAATGCAGACATAACAGCTGTCTTCTTCAAGGGTCAGCTAGGACACTAAACCAAACTCAAACTCATTGCCATCAAGTTGATTCCAACTCATAGTGACCTTATAGGACAGAGTAGAACTGCCCCATAGCGTTTCCAAGGAGCAGCTGGTGGATTCCAACTGCCGACTTTTGGTTAGCAGCCAAGCTCTTAACCACTGCGCCACCAGGGCTCCATGCTATGTTGACATTTAATTTACATCAGGACCTACTTACAACGTATAGAAAAAGTACTTAAAGTAGATGAATTTTATAAATAAAAATTTAGCCTTCCACAGTAATCCAGATTTATTCTCTCCACTCTTGGTACTTAGCTACTCTTGTAAAATTTAGACCACATCTATACTAGTCTCCAAGACATCAGTGAATCCCGGTATATTACCACAGTTCCTTTCTTTAAGTCTCCAGCCCTATGATAGCTGTGAAGTATGAAGCATGCAAATAACCATCTCATCTACACTGTACACACACAGTACAGAGAATAATGTCAACCAGATGATCTGGCCAACCCAGAAATGGAGTTGATAGCCTTGGTTACATCAGACTTTCAGTGGCAACTGAGAGAATGTGTGCCTCTCTGTGCCACTTAAGACATTGTTTAGTGCATTCTCTTTCTTGTTTAATATACTTCTTTCTTCTTGCTTCATCTTCTTTTTCTGGTACATGTGTAATATTACTGATAATTTCCCAATGGCAAGAAAAAGTTAAACAGTATCCAAGTTTTTTGTTATTCAATTTGCATTACTTATAAATTAATATTTATATATGCATTATTCTCTGTCCATGGCTTTTTCTCTAGGTATGAAGAAAACCTGTATCTGTTTTATCTGAATGTACTTTCTTCATCTGAGACTCCATATTACAATTGTGGGGTAACAACCAACAAAATAAATATTAAAGTCTACCAGCCAAAATTACCAGAAATGAAGATGGCATTTCAGAATACTACAGCCATTTGCCAGTCTTCTAGAAGTGAAGGTAAAAAGAACAACTTAAGTTTCTTCGTGCCACTTTTGCACTGAAAGGATAAATATAGAAACTCAATCAGATAGACTATAACTCAGCTCTGAATATATTTTAATTAAATGTTCCCTCTGTTATCAGAGGATCTCAAAGTAAGAAGTACAAAAAAAAGAGATCAGCATTAAAGCAATTCCTCAGGTTGCTACACTTCACCACTGGAAGACCAGTCATCTTGGCTATGCCCTGGACTCTGGGATTGCAGTGCCAATAAAAAGAAAGGCAAGCACAAGAAAGCCTGGGTTTGTGACAGGGGTTTAGAAATCTGACTTTACCAGACCTCCTGAGAGTCTGTCTAAAGGGCTCAGGAAGCAGAACAGAAATTAAACACTGCTGCTCGAAGCCTCAGATATTTGCTAAAATAAATGCAATATACCTAAGCACAATGGGGCCAGCTGGAATGCACCACTCAGTGAACCGTGTTCTGGGGCCAAGTGATTTGCGTGTGCTTGCCAGGCCTGCGTCAATGAAAACTGTACAAGATTACGCTGGGTGGCTGGGTGCAGGTGGGCAGGGCACTGGAGAGACAGGCAGCTCAATAGTACACACCCTTCTGGTCAAGCAGCAACCTGATTTTTTTTTTCCCCTGAGTATAAAAATTTTTCCAAAAACCTCACAGGTCAGAAGGTTGAAGAATTTTCAGCTCCTGTTGGCAGCCTGCAGAGAACTACTCCCATTTCAACCATACTCCTTTGTCTTATGCCAAAGGTAGTTTCTTAAAGTTCTCAGTCTCCAGTCTATTTTCACTTGGGTAAAACTATGAGTCCAGTGCTAAAAACTCCTTTTAACATCTTATATACTCACATACCCTCGGTAACAAGAAAACTCAAAGGCACACGACTAATTACTAGTTACTGATTCAGGAAGTAGAACTATCCTCTTCTCTTTCACTTCATCCGCTTCAATGTGAAACCTGCCTTTTAGTCTGCCTTTATGGACTATCTGTGCTCAGTGAAGTGGAGGTAGTTAGAGTCACTTCATCAACTCTATGAGGTTATCAAGAGGATTGCCTAGAGCAGGGAAGACTTCCATTGGCTGGGTCAACACTAAGAAAATACTGCAGGTGTCAATTCAAGTCTGTTAAAAAGTAATTTATCTGGAGAGTAGAAAAGATTACCACCTTGGCCAGCTTAATAATAGTTAAAGCAAATGCTAATATATATTATGTAATATATATTTGTATATATTATAGCAGAAAAAAATAACTGATTTTATTTTACCATCTGTGTATTATCCCCCAGAAAAGTACTTTATCATAAATAGTTTTTGAAGTTGTTTTTCTACAAATTTTTACATGTTGGTCTTATTACATAATAGGTATATTTTACTAACCAGTACATCAGTTAAGAAATACAGTAAATCTCATAAAAACATTGCTGGGAGACCACAAGAATAATTTCCAATGAACTGAAGCTTAACAACCTAGCACCAAAATCTTTTTTTGTAAAATATTTACAAAAATATTATAAACTTTTTTGTAAAATATTTCTAAAATGATTTTCATGCCTCCCTGACTTTTAAACATACAGTACTAAGGATGACTGAGCTCTTCCTTGGTAACTCAGGATCATCTTTACAGTTTTTCTGGTAAAATCCTATTCCTCTTTCAAAACTCTGATGAGGCCTCTTTACCTCTGTGAATCCGCCCTTAGCCTCAGAGCTACTGCCTTCCTCTCTCTTTTGTATCCTTCACAAGCTTCTATTAACCTGATTGTCTTAACTCTAGCCTCAGTTTCAGGAAGGACAGGCCTATGACTTATCTTTGCATCCCCCAAAACCTAGTACTTCATTCTTCATCCATTCCACGAAACTTTATTAAGCCCCTACTGTGTGTGCACAGTGGTTAGGAGCTCGGCTGCTAACCAAAAGGTCGGCAGTTTGAATCCACCAGCCACTCCCTGGAAACTCTACTGGGCAGTTCTACTCTGTCCTATAGGGTTGCTATAAGTGGAATCGACTTGAAGGCAATGGGTTTTTTTTTTTTTTTTTTTTTTGATGTGCCAGATACTGAGCTGGGCTCTAGAAATCGAGCCCCCAACCTGAGGAAGCTGAGTACCTGAGGAAGCTGAGTACTGTGTGGAGAACCCACATCTGACAGGAGAATGTCCACAGGGCAGTGGGATGTGCTGAGCTGCCTGCTCCTCCCTAAAGGCCCGATAGCCATGCCTTTTGATTTCCTGAGTTTTTCTGTCTTCTGTCTTATTCTCAGGGTGTGAGCTGTCACTTCTTACTTTAGTGGGGATGCCTGTATTGAGTGAGGTATTACTCTGCCCACATTGTAATGGTCAGACAGCCTACCCGTAATAGGAAAAATTCCCCACTTTATTCAAAGTAATTAAGCTTTAATTATAAATACCAGTATGGCATTCAGAAAGATTAAATACTAGAAGAGACTGTGTTCTCTGATTTTTCTTTCCCTAAGCATTGGCATACAGATTGTTCTTACTTTTTCTTGCTTATGGTGAAGGGGAAGCTGAGGCGTTCCCATGGTTAGGGTAAGGGGAAGACAGATGAAGCTGGGGTACAACCGTTGTGGCCACCACCAAACTGGTGTTCAGCTGGGACCTCCAAGGCTGCCAAGGTTGTCTTACCTTTACATTAAAAAGAACACCTGTTCTCAGCTCCTAATTTACTGTCTCAGGTAAACCACTTGGCTGCCCTGTTTTGAGTAAGGGGCTTGGCGACCCTACAAAACCAACTTCTTAAACCCATATGGTCATATGCCAGCACCAGAAAGTGAAGTTACCTGTCTACAAAGTCCCCATTCCACTCTCCCTAACCCTAGCAAGTACTAGAGAGACACCTATCACTAAAACCTGCCACTTCAGGAAACTCAGGAGGCACACCTCACATCTTTGGGTTCGATGAGGCACAGGATAATGCCAATGACTTCAACATTTGTGCTAAGGGTGTTTTATGAGATGCTGAGCACCCTGGAATTTCCTCAGGGAACACCCCAAGGGGGAGTCACCCAGACCAGTCCCATATCTGTACCTTTCCTATCACTCCCTGATGGTCTCATCTAAGTGGCTAACCCTCACGAAAAAGAATAAATATTCACAATGATTTTGAAAGAATAAGTCCTAGTTTATTCTTTTTTTCAGCTTAGGACATATCCAACATCAAGAGACGGGGTGGTCTTCAGTGAGTAAAATCATAAATCAGGAAGGGAAAGACTAACACTTATTGACTTAACCAAAACCAAACCAAATCTGTTATCACTGAGTTGGTCCCGACTCATGGTGACCCTGCAGGACAGAGTAGAAATGCCCAATAGGGTGTCCAAGAAGCAGCTGGCAGATTCAACCTGCTGACCTTTTGGTTAGCACCTGAGCTCTTAACCACTGTACCACCGTTTTTTTTCTTGAGTAGATTTCTTAAGCATTTAGTTCATTGACCTTCAATAAAATTATTATAAGATATTTACCACTTATTTTCAGAAACAAGTACAAAGCATTACTGATAAATTTTGATAAAACCCAAAATTAAATGATATTAGAAGTTTCTGTAAGATAAGAGGTGTTCTTGGCCCTGCTTTCCCCCTTTCCTGCCCCCACAGAGTTGGGCCAGATCCTGTTTGATGAGTGAGTGCTAAGGTGCTCTGCTTCCTTCCCCCATCCTCTTTGAGGAGCTGCCAGCCAGGGTGAGTTTACTTCATGAAGCTTTAGAATGACCCAGTTATTGAAGAAATCATTTGGAAACTCATAAAAAGTTATTTGGAAACCTTTAAAAGGCTATTTCCTCTCCCAGCACTGAGCAGTAAAATGATACTGACCTGGCCAGCTGTGTCACAGAGCTGGAGCTGCACAGGCCGCCCATCCACAGACACCACAGCTTGAAAACAAGAACAAAATGACTGTCAGAAGGTGGCTTTTAACCCCTTTCAGAAAAGTAATACTTTCAGCTTGTCCTACCACTCTTGCTCTAAACCCTTCAACTCCTATTTTGGGTCCTTTAATGAATTAAAGACTTGCCTAAAACAAAGAAACCCGATCCAAGGCAAACATTTTTGTATACAAACCCTTCAGGGCTCCACAAGTCACGCCACTGAAACAGATGAGGCAGCAAATCACTGAACTCTTTGATGGCAACACCAGACGGGCCTTCGCTTTCCTTCCAGCCCAAGGAGATTTATTTTCCTGTCACACTTGTTTCAAAGGACCTAAAAACAACACTGGGGGTAAGTGGGAACTAACCTTGCCTTTTTAAATCAGTGCAAAACCTTGCAAATAATTCTGTTTTCCTTGGGAAACTTTCCCGAGTTCAGGGTTTATCATAAAATCCTAGCTTGTTTTGAGAACATGGGCAAACACAGGCTGTCCTCACTGTCCTGTTTATGAAGCAGGTTACTGCTTATCTCCCCATGCCAGTTCAAAGAGAGAATTAAAAAAAGAAAAGAAAGAACACCAGGGTGCTGGTATTTGATGAAGAGGAAAGGGGTCAGGCACTTCATTAGGGAGGACTTAGAGGTTTCTATTTGAATTAAGCAAACAGTTTTGTCTTAAAACAACTTTCTAGATTGTTCATAAGTGTTTATACTGGTCAGTAGGGAAAAAAGAAAATAAAAAGTAAAATACTATTTAGGCTGGGAAACTCACTAGCACAGTACAGCTTTATCGGGGCTGCCTTTGAGATGGAAAACATCATGGCCCATCATGCATTAGGAAGCCCCAAAGAGATCAGTGAAGTTTGTTTTTTTAAAAGGGGGCAAGAGAATGTTTCACACTAGCTTCTGTGGATTTTAACTTTTTTCTTAATATTCAAAAAGACCTAAAATATTAAAAATCAGGCTGTAATTAAAAGGATTCCTTTAGCTTAGTACTTACCAACGCATGTGACATTACATCCCATATATGAGAGCTTTAAGTAGCTTAAAGAGACACTGACAAGACTTGTTGTGTGCCATGGAGTCGATTCCAACTCACAGCGACCCAATAAGGACAAAGTAAAACTGCCCACAGGATTTCCTAGGCTGTAATTTTACAGGAGCAGATCTTCAGGTCTTTCCTCCTGTGGGTGAGTTGGAAAGGCTGACCTTTTGATTAGCAGCCTAGTGCTTAACCACTGAGCCACCAGGGCTCCTTCCCAATTCCCTAGACTCAGGAAATCTACTGAACCCTGAACTTCATCCATTTCCCAGCTAGAGCCTAGCACGGTGCCCTGCCAAAACCCTCAGAAACCCTCGAACATCGTCATGTCTTCCGGTCCACAGTCCCTTCATCCTCTCAAAAGCCCGGTTAACACCACTGTCGTGGGCAGCTGCTAATGTAACTCCCGGGGTGCCTCGAAGCCAAAGTGCTTGACAGCCCCGGAGCCTGCGCCGCGCCACCCCCACCCCGGCCGCCAGCTCCCTCACCCGAGAAGTTGTCGAAGGCGGTGGGGATGTACTCGGTGGGATAGCCGTTGGTGGTATAGCTCACCACCAGGCTCGTTTTCCCCACGGCGCCGTCTCCGACCAGCACGCACTTGATGCTGCGCCTCTCCGCGCCGCCTGCCAGACAGCGGGTCGCTAGCGCTGCGGTCCGGCCGCTGCGCACCCGGCGCGGGGGCACCGGCGGCACCTCGCAGCCGCAGCAGCCCGCCACCGGCTTGCTGATGTACTCTGGATTCCCCTGCTGCGGCGGCATCGGTCGCTTGCTCTCGAACGTGGAGGCGAAAGGGTTGGGGGGAAGCAGAGGCTGGGGGTGGGGGAACAGGAGGAACCCAGGGTCTCCGAGTGCCAACAGCTCTGTCCCTTCACCGCAGCGGCCGCCGAAAGCCCGGAGAGTCCTGGGATCCGGCTCGCACCCACGCTGCGAGCCGCGGAGAGAGAGGTGAGCCGGGACGGTCCGGCCAAAGGCTCCGTGTCCTCCTTCCTCCCGAACAGGCGTGCTGGCGAGCGCAGGGCATCCGCCGGGGACCCGGGAAGTACCCGCGGCCACTCTCTCCTCCGCCCGAAGGTTCGCGCGCTTGAAGACCAGGGCTCAGGGAGGCCAGGCTCTGTCATGGGCCGTGGGCTGTGGCCCTGGGATCTCCCAGAAAGCGGCGAGTCCAGACGCCGCGGCTCCGAGACAAAGGCGATACGGAGGAGGGTCACGGACAGCGCGCTCGGGCGGCAGCACCACCGGCTCCGCTCGTGCGGCGCAGAGAATTGAAGTCGAGGACCGAAGCCGAGCACCGTCTCTCCGGCCGGCTCCGCGGTGACACGACTCGTGGGGTGCAGACGGGGCGGGGGGAGAAAGAGGCGGCCCTGCAGGCGCGGCGGTGGCAGCGGCTCCCTCCTTGCGCCGGGGCCACAGCGCTCTCTGCCTGCGCGCCGCGCCCCTGCACCTCTTGCCCGAGCCCACTAGCAGCCGAGCGCGCCGAAGAAGACCTGAAAGCCGGCTCCCGGTGGGCGCGGCCCGCGCCCTGGGCGGCTTCCTCCGGGTCCAGAGCTGCCTGCGCTGATTGGCCAGGGCGGTTCTCCGCCCCTCGCCACTGCGCTGGTCGGGAAACGTGAGACACCGCCTTTTTTCTCTGCCGGCTCCGTCCTCCCTCGCCGGTTTCAGCTCTCAAGAGTCCTTCAACCACTTTCCCCAGCCCCCCGCGGGGACTGCCTCTGTCCCCCAACCCCCACCCTTCTGTCCGTCTCGGTTGGAAGCTGGGGTGTGAAGCTGCCTTCCGCTGCTGCTCACAGCTCTCCACCAAAGGGAGGGGCAATGAAGTGTCTTGGGGGCCTGTCGTCTGAATGAGACTGAATTAACACACTCAACTTTTTTTTTTTTTAAGTTTAGCTACAGGCCCACAGTGTGAGTTTTCTTCTAAAATATAACATTTTATAGCAAAAGAATGCCAGCTCTATTTTTAGAGCTGATTTACCTTTCTCTTTGGCATGCTATAAACCTTTACACTTTCATGATCCAGCAAATTTCTTTACAGCTCCAATTTCTTCATTTACTTAAATGTAATTTGGGGACATTAATAGTCCCTGAAAACAATATTACTTGTATCTTTGATTCCTTCCTCTGTGCCTGCCTCCCACAAGATAAATGTACCATACATTTTTTAGGGGACTGACATGAAATAGAACTGATCTGAATTCCTTTGTGTGGAAGGACACAAACCTGTAGTAGTATCACAAATAGCAAGTTTGTCTCTGTGTGAATTGTCTTTCAATTCTTCCTATAAAAACTATGTTAGTTACAAAATGGAAGAGATCAAAGAGTATGAAGCTAAAAAGCGTAGAAAAAAATAGTATTATAGAGGGGTGTGAGGCAGTAAATTTAAATATTATGTTTTCCTCCGAACTTTTTTGAAGTTTACGATGTTTGTCAGTCTTTTAAAATGTGTAATTTATTAGGATGCATTTCTCACTTTAATTATTCATTTTTGTACTAATTTTCCATTCATAATTTTTTTATTTCTTAACCCTTTCATGAATGATTTTATGCTTGTAATTTTTGGTGATACAATGTTTTTTCACTAATGGACTGCATGCTGAATCACAGAGTGTTAGTAATCTTTTATGTAATACGGTTTTTTATTAATATTGTGTGGTACACATATATACCGGTGAACCCTGGAGGTAAAATAGGTGGAATGCAGCAAGGAAACATTTTTTTTAATCAATTTTTTCCTTGTTGTTGAGTGAAACTTCTGAAAACATGGGGTAACACATAAAGGCACCCTACATCACTGCATAACTGCCCTGACAACTGATTGGCTGGCTGATCACATTAGATGTGGAGGATGATTACGTGGTTACGTAACTGCCAAACCACTGTGAATCATGGCCCAGCAAAGTGGACACACAACCTGACCCATCACAACAGAATAATAAAAATACCATACCTGGAAACCAATATGAGAATACATAAGGTGAGACATTGCATAATTGCAGCCTCCTGTAAAGCTAAAGCTCCAAAAGGAAGTGCTGTCGTGGGATCATTTCCACTGCAATAAATTATCTCTTATTACAAAACACGTACTTATAGCTCAGAAACCAGAAGATAGGTCCTTGGTGATTGCACTGCATGAAACATACATGTAGTACCTCAAGGACACTACAGTGTGTATTTCTCCTAAAAATAATTTTTTCACATGGATATTACCTAATTCCAAAAACAACTACCCAGTAACACAAAGAAAACTGTAAATATCCTTACAAGGCTTATCTCACTGTTCAGAATTCCAAACTACCCAGAAACGTAATTGGTACTTACTTGTTCCCCCGTACATCAAGCATGCTTGTTTACAGTGCATTTTCCTAAAAATAACTTATGCACTTGAATATTGCCTAATGCCGAAAACCACACCCTGCCAATAACACAAAGGAAACAATAAATGTACTTACAGGCCTTATCTCGCTGTACAAAGGGAAAAAGAGACAAGTCATTCACAGTCACTCCTCCCTGCTGCAGCACCTCCTGCAATAACCTCTCTGCACAATAGGGCACCATGAACTTCCTTCCGGGTTACACAGTTACAGAAGTCTCTGCTGCATACCAGCACATTATTAATAATGTCACAAAAGCATGCCTATAAACCTCAGAGAGAAAATATGAGGAGCCTCTGGATGGGTTCAAAACTTGGCTATGCCCCTACTTTTGGCCCTATGTCAGTTCTGGTATCCTGTAGCTTCTGACTCTTGCTCCGTCTTTGTTTATGCTTTTCCTTTTATGTAGAATATTGTCCCATACCCCGCTCAAAAATTTTGCCCCATTTTTCTAGACTCAGTCAACTCCCTCCAGCATTATCTGAAATACCTGGAACTAATTCTTCCCCTAGAAGCCCCTGGGTGTCAGAAAACCATTAAGCACTCAACTACTAGCCGAAAGGTTGGCAGTTTGAAACCACCCAGAGGCTCCTCGGAAGACAGGCCTGGAGATCTGTTCCTGAAAAGTCACAGCCTTGAAAGTCCTATGGAGCAGTTCTGCTCTGAACACATAGGGTCGCCATGAGTCCACTTGATGTTAACTAACAGCAGCAATTCCTCCCCTATTTATAAGAACCCTTTGCAGGCAACGGAGGAAACCAGATCCCATGTCCCATCCAAGTCCTAAAGTAGAGAGATGATTTGGGAGGGGCAGAGCACTAACCAAGACAGAGAAAGAAGATGCTGACTAGGGACATGCCTCTGAGGCTTGTGTCCCCAGATTATACTATATATATTTCTTTGGTTTATTTGTTTATTGTCTGTCTCCCCTTACAAATTCCATGAGGTGAGGGACTATTTTATTCATTACCATATCCCAGAACTTAGAATAGAGTGGGGCAAATAGTAGGTCCTCAATAAATATTTATTAAAGGACATGCCCACTGAGACGGAAAAAAAAGGAAAACAACAGGTGTTGGCAAGGATGTAGAGAAATAGGAATCCTCATCCATTACTGGTAGAATTGTAAAATGGTACAACCACTGTGGAAAACAGTCTGGAGGCTGCTCAAAAAGTTAAAAGTAGAATTACCATATGATCCAGCAATTTCACTTCTACCTATGCACCCAAAAGAATTGAATGCAGGAACACAAACAGGTACATGTACACCAATGTTCATTGCAGCACTATTCACAATAACTAAAAGATGGAAAGAACCAGCAGATGAATGGGTAAACAAAATGTGGTACATATATACAATGGAATATTATTCAGCCACAAAGAGAAATGAAGTCCTGATATGTGCTGCAACATGGCTGAGCCTTGAAAACATTATGCTGAGTGAAATAAGTCAGTCACAAAAGGACAATTATTGTATGATTTCACTTATATGAAATACCTAGAATAGGCAAGTGTATACAGACCTAAGGTTATTAGTGGTTACTAGGGGCAGGTAGAAAAGACGGGGGAAGGGATACTCATTGTTTCAGGAACACTGAGCTTCTGTTAAGGGTGATGAAAAAATTTGGAAAAGGATAATGGTGATGGTTGCACAATATGATGAACATAATTAATGTCACTCAATTGTACATGTGAAGAATGTCGAAATGGCAAATGTTTTGTTACATATATATTTAGTACAATAAAAAATATTTATAAGGAAGGAGTAAAACATTTACTATTTCCTCTTTCATGCTATTGTAAAATATTTTAGAATATGTGAATCAAATTTGGCTACTTCTTTTTTTTTTCCCATACAAAAATTTATACATACATTATTATGAGACTCTAATTGCTCTCCCTATACTGTGACAGCACGCTCCCCCTTTCCGCCCCATAATTCCCCATGTCCATTCAACCAGCTCTTAACCCTCTCTGCCTTCCCATCTCACCTCCAGACAGAAGCTGCCTGTTTAGTCTCTTGTATCTACTTGAGCTAAGAGGCACACTCCTGATGAGTATCAATCCCGGTCTGAAGAATTGGCCTCGGAAATTGTTTTAGTTCTGGGCTGATAGAAAATCCAGGGGCCATGCTTTCTGGGGTTCCTCCAGTCTCAGTCAGACCATTAAGTCTGGTCTTCTTACTAGAATTTGAGTTCTGCACCCTACCTTTCTCCTACTCCATCCGGGACTCTCTGTTGTGTTCCTTCCCTGTCAGGGCAGTCATTGGTGGTAGCCAGGCACCATCTAGCTCTTCTGATCTCAGGCTGATGAAGTCTCTGGTTTATGTGGCCCTTTTTGTCTCTTGGGCTACTACCTGCCTTGTGTCTTTGGTGTTCTTCATTCTCCTTTACTCCAGGTGGTTGGGACCAATTGAAGCATCTTAGATGGCCGCTTGCAAGATTTTAAGACCCCAGACACCACTCACCGAAGTAGGATGCAGAACATTTTCTTAATAAGCTTTGTTATGAAATTTGGCTACTTCTTGCAGTAATTAATATGAGACCATTTTTTGGCTCTCTTTTAAGACAGGAATGCATTATATTGTATGTACTCCTGTTTGTATTCGATCAGCACAGCGTAATGTTTTAACTGTGCCATGGGTCTAATAAATTTAGGAAACACTGGGCAATTGCTTGAACACAGAGTTTACATCCCTTCATGATCTGGTCCCTGGGTGGCCTTCAAGCCTCAGCTTTAAACATTTCCTTCCCCATCACCATTCATCTCATCTAGGCTTTTCAACATCCTACCCACTGACTTAACTGCAGCCAGACAAATTCATTATGCTCTCTCTTGTCCCTCCTCCACCTTGACAGAACTCAGTCAGGACTCTACAACCCGTTTGCTTCTTCTTCCTCTGATTTGATCCTAGTTGTCACACAGGTCTCAGTTTAGATGTTCCCTCCTCCAGGAAGTTTTCCCTGACCACTTACCTTGGGTTTTATATCCCTTTTATGTACCTGTACTCATCCCTATCATTGTTGTTATTGTTGTTAGGTTCCATCGAATCAGTTACCACTCATAGTGACCCTACGCACAACAGAAAGAAATACTGCCAGGTCCTGTGCCATCCTCACAATCATTGTTATGCTTGAACCCATTGTTGCAGCCACTGTGTCAGTTCGTCTTGTTGAGGGTCTTTCTCTTTTTCACTGACTCCTCTACTTTACCGAGCAGGATGTCCTTCTTCAGGGACTGATCCCCCCTGATAATATGTCTAAAGTATGTGAGACGTAGTCTCACCATCTTCACTTCTAAGGAGCATTCTGGTTGTACTTCTTCCAAGACAGATGTGCTCGTTCTTTTGGCAGTCCATGGTATATTCAATATTCTTTGCCAACACCACAATTCGAAAGCATCAATTCTTTAGTATTCCTTATTCATTGTTCAGCTTTTGCATGCATATGAGGCAATTGAAAACACCATGGCTTGGGTCAGGTGCACCTTAGTCCTTAAAGTGACATCTTGGCTTTTCAACACTTTAAACCGATCTTTTGCAGCAGATTTGCCCAATGCAATGCATCATTTGATTTCCTGACTGCTGCTTCCATGGGCATTGATTGTGGATCCAAGTAAA